CTTTCCCCTTTACATTCTCCTTCATAACCCAATATGGTATCCTTAAACTGGCTGGTGGTTCCATCGGGTTTGGGCCGTTAGGCACTGATCTTTTCTCGTCTATTGAAATGAATGGTGATAGGGGAGGTTCAGTCTCATCTGGACCTTTTGGAACACTCCTCTTTATATCCTCCATAACCCAATATGGTATCTGTAAACTGGCCGGTGGTTCCATTGGATTTGGGCCGTTAGGCACTGATCTTTTCTCGTCTATTGAAATGAATGGTGATAGGGGAGGTTCAGTCTCGTCTGGACCTTTGGGCACCATTCTTTTCATATTGGTTGGAGGCAATGGTGGGAGTGGTGATTGCATTTGGTTCGGACCGGATGGAGCTTCCCTCTTCACATCATCTCGGCTCACCCCTCCTTGATTAGCCAATAGGGGTGGGGAATGATATGGCGGAAACTACTGTACATATGATTTGGGTGATGGTTTTGGTTATTAGATTCTGACGAAATAGTTAGGAAGAGAAGTGAGAGTATCAACATATGGAGTTGATATCCGAAATTTATGTTTAGGACCCAAGAAGGATAGATCTTCACAGTGTTGTTTTTGATAAGTAAATGTGACTCTGGTGATAAACAATGGAGTGGTCTCCCCTATATATACTCAGAGATTTAAATGAATGTGGTCATGTTTTTCTTTGAATTGTTCGAATTGAATGCCCAAAATTTTATATATTAATGATAGTTCACAAAAATGATTATTGTTTTCTATTGGTTTTCAGCAATACATTTTGTCATTAAAATGGAGAAAACTACTAATATAGGAAATGAGCTGAGTAAGTGTCAGGATTCAAGTGATTATCATTTGTTACCTATTTTAAAGATTTAATTAATCTGATCATCACTTACCTTTTGTTGATACATCGGAAAGGATCTGATCATCAGTTACCATGACTTGTAACTTGTATTTTTTTGGATGACTTGTAACTGATCAATTGCATATAACTTGCATAATTTCATCCATAATATACGGAGTAATAATTAGTGTATAATCATGATAGAGAACCTTAATTTTTTTGAATTTGAATAGGCCGAGAAGAAATACTAACTCTTATGAGTCCTTTTTATTTTGATTCCCAAACAAAACAATCATTTCCAAATTGATTATTCAATAAATAAAATAATCTTAATAAGAACAATAACATCATAGCTGCAAACTGCCTGCAATCGATTAGTATCAAATTTATATTTTCATTTAGATTTTTGGATAAATGAACTGATCATATCTATATTGGTTAATATATAAAGCATACATTTCCTTATTTATAACAAAAATAATATGTAGTATTGTTTAGTATAATAAAGGTATTCTTTTGATTTTGTTTGTTTTTATAAATAGATAAATAAATAAATGAATAAATAAATAAATAAATAAATAAATGAATAAATAAATAAATGAATAAATAAATAAATAAATAAATAAGATGATTACTTCATATTTGACCAAAAATAGTAACTACAAGTCTACAACTAGTCGGTATCCAAATTATTCTTTCAACTACAATTTTAATAAAAATGTGACCATTTCTATTTTAATATCAATAAATAAAACTATATTTTTTTATTGGTAAAAGTAATAACATTTGGGGTTTTTACAAAAATATAACTAAAATAAAAGATATTTACAAAATATGACTAATAGTTACTATGACTCCCTTATTACTTTAGTCACTAGTCATATTTTTGTAAACAATTTTTATTTTAGTCATAAATACTCCATCCGATCCCAAAGTAATTTAACACTTTCCTTTTTGGGTAGGTTCAATATAAATTTCACACTTCTATTTTTGGCAACTTTTTAATATAAAGTCACCCTTAAACTCTTACTTTATTACCTACTTTATACTGACATTCTCTCACTCACTACACTTTACTACTTTTGGGGGGCATAATTAGAAAGACAAAACAAAAAAAATCACTTTCTTAAAAATTGTAAAATCAACTATCAAGTTCTTTTGGGACCGGAGGGAGCATGTAATTATTTCTAGACTTTTTTATCGTAATAAAAGTAATGATATGTTTATTGAAAAAAGTAATAATATAATTACTACATTTGTTAGGATGTTTTTACTTGAACTGTAATTTGCTGGTCTGATCTGGTCTAGTTTGGTCTTCTTAAGTCTGGTCTGATCTGAACTAGTCTGGTCTGGTCTAGTAAACGTCTGGTTTTTGTGAATTTTGAAGATAACTGTATAGTTAAACAACGTAGTATATTTCAGAAAATTATTTGACTGCCTTTCCGGTTGAATTTTTACCTTAAATTTGGTATGGGTAAACTAGACTTAATGAATAAGATGCTCAAAAAATTCATCAAAATTTTTTACCGAGAACCGCACCAAATGGCGATAGCCGGACAAAACCTCCTATATAAGGGGTCATTTGCACTTTTTATGTAAGCTCGAGATCTTATTTTGGTAGTTCTCCCAATATTTTTTTTTTGTCAAAAAAAAATAGAAAATTCAAAGCACTACATTGAAGTACTAACGAGTTGATTACATATTTATGTACATAGTTATTTCAAAATAAGTCCTTAGAGTTGATGTTTGAAATGCAAACTGAAACACTTTGAAATGCAACACTAAACACAACATATACACATTATAAAATCACTTTTATACATAATACTTATAAACACATTATAAAATCACTTTTGGAATAAGTCACTGACATTCAACACTTTGAAATGCAAACTAAACACAACATACACACATTATAAAATCACTTTTATACATAATATATACTTATTCATATTGAGTCTAACCCTAGTGAATTTGAAATTGATGAAATTCTTTTGAAAACGGCTAAATTTCCTAAATTATGAAAAACTATCTTCCAGTACAACTATGGCAGTAATACGACAACTATTTTGGCAATAATAACTCCAAGATGGCAGTAGATATTGGCATGTTATTTCTATCTCAGGAAGATAAACATAACAATCATATTTTGGAATTCCAAAATATGTCTACTCCAGTTTATTAAAATAAAGAAAAGTTTCTATGAAAATAGCTAAAATCATCATCTATAGTAATTTCACCAATTCAGCTAGAAAGGCAATTTCAATCTTACTTATTTGAATTATTACACAATTTAACGCGCCAAATAAAAAGTTTTGATAAAAAATAGTTGGCTGATAAAAAGAGCATAAGACTAATAAGATGGAAATAGAAGTGACCAAACGGACTCCAATTTTCTTAAAGGACATGTTCCACAAAAAAATCAAGGGAAAGTTCCCGAAATGGGACCAAAAACTTTTGTAAATTCCAAAATAGAACTGTCATGTTTTTATTTCCAAAATAGGAGTAATTACTGCCAAATTTGGAAAATACTGTCATGTTTTAAGTCTGGTACTGTCAAAACATGATAGTAATTAGTCCCATTTGGAGAATTAAAAACATGGCAGTCCTATTTTGGAATTTACAAACGTTTTTAGTCCTATTTAGGGTAAATTCTCAAAATTCAAATAAGTAGGTAAGATGCTTAGAGGTAGTACATGTGATTAATGTGAATAACCAACATAATAAGGGCCACAACACAAAATAGTAAAATGCCAAACAAGGTACACCAAAAGCAACCAAGATTCTTTTCTCAGGAGGATTATAGACCAAGTATCTTTGAGCATAAATCTAGGAAAAATTGACAAGAATAATCTCACATTTCACCGGTCTTCTTATAATAATCCTACCTTTAGATAATCCCAAAATAATCCCACTTTCGCACCCCATCTTCTTTCATTGAACTCTGACCAAGTTTTTTACCTTTCTTTGAAAATCTTATATAAATAATCTCACATTTATAAAGATATAATAGAAAAGTGAAATGTGAGATTATTTTTATGATTTTCAAAAAAAGAGTAAAAGACATGGTCAGGGTCCAATGAAAGAAGATGCGATGCAAAGGTGAGATTATTTTGGGATTATCTAAAAGTAGGCCTGGACTCGGGCCGGTTCGGGCCTGGGCCCGGCCGGGCCTCGGGCCAGGAAATGGGAGGCCCGGGCCCGAACCGCCGGTGGCCGGTTCCGGTCCCGGTTCCGGGCCAAACCGGGCCGGGCCGGGCCGAACCGGCCCACTTAATTTTTTTTTTTTGTTCTCCTATTTAATCCCCTACCCCTCCCCCTCAACCCCAAACCACCCCAAACCACCTCAAATGGCCCAAAATACCTATTCCAACCCAAAACTTTAAAAAAAAAAATCAAAAAAAAAAAAAATTAAAATCCGGCCCGGACCGGGCCCGAACCGGCCGGGCCGGTTCACCATTTGGAAGGCGCGGGCCCGGAACCGGGAACCATCGGGCCGGTTCAACCCGAACCGCCGGTGGACCGGGCCACCGGGCCGGGCCGGTTGCTACAGTGGCCGGGCCGGGCCGGTTCCGGGTCGGGCCGCCCGGCCCGAGTCCATGCCTATCTAAAAGTGGGATTATTATGAGAAAACCGGCGAAAGGTGGAATTATTTTTGTCAATTTTTCCATTTTTCTATTATTTCTCCATTCTTTTCCTTCACTAAACTTCCTCAAACCAAATAAAACATAGAGTTCGCTTGGTAGCACGAAAATCGGGTGTTTTGGCTGATTCTGCTGAAATTTATGAAGTTCTGGCTGAAGTGGCTGCATTGGTTGTTTCTGCTAATTTAAGAAAAAATTATTTTTAAAATATATTTTATTAATAAAATAAAGAAAAATTATATATAAAAATAGCTAAAATGGTCATCTACAGTAACTTCAGCCAATACAGCCAGAAAAGTAACTTCAACCTTACTTTTTCTGCTTATTACACAATTCAACGCGCGAAAACAAAAGTTACGTGTTTGGTGTAAAAGTTGGCTGATAAGCCTGATAAGCCGAAAAATAGTGTTGGCAAACAACCTCATAATCATTCATCATCCCCTTCTCCGTAATCACCCCCTTTCCTTTCCTGCATAACCTCTTCATCGACCCAACCACTTTCGCTTATGTGAAGGTGATGTAAGATTATCTCATAATCACATAATTTGAACCAAACAAATTGATGACAAAAGAAGTAAATAAAGATTCACGAGTTACATGTTAGTCTCATCTACTCTGAGCTAGACGCCTTTCAAAAGTAATACAATATTGTTTACTAGATGAATCAGAAATTTCACACCTCTTCTACTAAAATGTACATACACGAGAAAGACACGCTATACCAGCAGGCAACGTTCCCATACATCAGCTATTAATCTTGAAACTACTCCGTGAGACCGTGACTAAGGACTTCAGTGCCTGAAGCCTCTATCCTAGTAGTATATACATATGTACAGAAGAATGTTATTAGATCAGCTCGTCAACAGTTAACATGTTTGCTTCACATCACCTAAGAAAGATTATATGACGAAATTGCAGAGTGAAAGTTGGATACACTCTGTCTAAGTCCTCAGAAAAAAATCACCCTCCAATGCACATGAAGGGTTCACGTGATAAAAAGGAGATTGTTTTCATGTCCATGGTTGTGAACGATAGGGCGTAAAGGATCAACTCTCCATTTCCCATCTACAATGAACTTAATCTGAATTGAAATGTAGTATTATTGCTTAATATTCAAAACCGAAAAAGGGGTGTATATTGTTGAATAACAGCAATAGTGATGATGGGGTGGGCCTACCTCGTATCTGCCAGGATACAACATCAATGTCAACGAAAAAATGCCAGCACTTGATTTCTCCATCTTTCTCTGCACCACTTCAATTATTATGAAATTAAATAATGTAGGCATTTCATTTTCCTAGTTAGCGTTGCACCCATATCATGGAATGAATAAAACACATTGCACTTAACTTATTATCCAAATAAAAACAAACATTGCTTCTTCCATGTGATTCTAACAGACATATCTAAATTGTGCTAAAAACTTCTCATGTGTTTAGCGAAACAAAAGACATGAACACTTCATAAAATAAGTCCTAAAACAAAGTATCATAATAGATCCAAATAAGTCCTGTTACTATCTTTGAATCATCGCTTAGGTCCATGTACTTAAATAAGTGTCATATTCATAATTCATTTCGCTACTCGTAAAGAAATGGTCATTTAAACCAAGTGAGCTGAAGGTTTCCTGACTTAGTAGGTTATTCGCTTATGTTGCAATTTTTTCAGTTTTATTTTCCTTTCTTTTACTTTCAGTCTCTTCTTTCTCAGTCCATTCCTTGATCAACCGCATGCTTCCATCTTTATTTTCTTCTTTCTTGGTTCATTCTTGGTCTTGTGGGAATAAGGCTTGGATGTTGTTGTTGTTGGTCCGTTTCTTGGTCAACACGCATGCCTCCATCTTCACTTTCTCTTCTTTCTTTTTCTTGCTACAAGTCTCCTAAAAAGAAGATGTTGGCTAGCTGTAGATATTGAAATAATACTTTCGCTATAATTTATAGTGCAGACTGCAGACATGCTGGCCGGATTTTATGTTGCCAATCATTTGGCATCACTATGCATTCCCGCTTTCTTTTCGGTGGATTCCCGGAGATTGACGGGCTGTTGGGTGTATTTTAATTTCAGTGAAAACTGACTCTTCCTCTTTAAATAGGTAGAACCGGTAGAACCAATACCGGTGTCCGACAGAGACAATGAAAAATGCTTCATCGCTCTGGCAATGTCGCCCAATTGGTCTATCTCTTCCTCTGTTGTTTCCTCTTTTGTTTTTTTCTTTAATTTTCCTTCTTTCCTATAATTCTTTTTTCAAAAAATTGATGTCTACATACGGTGGATAAATTTTCTTTTGTTTTGCAGTATAGAAGATATGTAATACACACACACACATACACACTGATATATTAGGTTAGGAGAAGGGGAAGAACGAGCAAAAAGAAAAAGGAAAAAAAGAAAAGAAAAGAGAAAATAAAAAATAAAAGGAATGATAAAAGCCACATGAATAAAATGAGTTGACCTGAATTTAGTTAAAATTACACATTGTGAGTTTACCGAATTGAACAGGTAACTTACAGTTCATTTTGGGTGTAAAGGATTGTTTTCAACTAACAGATGAATATGACACTTATTTAAGTACATGAACCTAAGTGATGATTTGTAGATAGTAAAAGGGCTCATTTGACCATTTCCCAATATATAAATGGCCATAATCTATTTCTACGGTTTTGGCTACTGTACCTACTGCTTAACCACCACTACTACTAACAGTACTAAGTTAGTGGGGCAAAACAAAACCTTAGATGTCCAGCTGTCAAAAGACCCTGCTACAAGAACTTCTGAGGCAGAATTAGGCCAGACAATATGGACGGTACGCAGAAGCTGCATGGCTATATGAACGCTATCAATTCTACTCTGTTTCTTTTCCATCGTCTTTTGTGCATCACTGGACATGAATAGTGTGCACTTACTAATTAGAAGAATGCATCCACAGTAAGCAATGAAATGTAATGGTTTCGTACATACCTAGCTGACAAAGCCATTTTCCCTTCTAATACATTTAGCTTTGCACGTATTGAGCGCAATATATTCTGGGCATACATCAACTGATTTTCATTGAACTCCAATGCATCTGAAAGCTTTTCCAGATCACTGTGAGAACAGCTCATAACCTGAGAACAATAAGTGTGAAATAACTTGAAAAGAATACTGGACAACTTGTCTGGATTCATGTTAACTGTTTAACTTGTATTACCAACATTGGTTGTCATTCATAAACATAAACATCTTGACCCTTGGTTCTTTTTCAAATTTTCAAAGACGCCCTTTTTAGCCTTTATTTAATGTCTATGTAATATTCGTATTTAATCTTAATGATGTGTACTCTGGATTGGAATAATGTGGAATTATGTATTGCAAAGTGTAAAATTGTGTTTACAGTGTTACAGTGGAATTCTAATCTCATCCCTCTCATATCCAGAACAGATCTGGCTTCAACTTTTTACAAACAGTCCTAGAACCCAATCCCCCCGTCACACACCACCACCCTCATCCCCCACCCCTAACAAAGGAGCATCCAAGAAATTGAAGAAACAAATAAACCATGCATGTGATTTCTTCACTTCAATAAAACAAATTAGGATTAGTTCCATTTTCTAAAGATTTAAGAGAAAGGCAAGTGAACTGCTCTGGACTTCTATACCTGAATTAGTAAGAAAAGAGCATGTGCTCAATTAGCTTATTATCATGACAAGCAACTAAGAGCTTACTATTTAGTTCTGTACAAAGAGCAACTTTAAAAATAAATGCATTTCAAAAAAGAAGCATCAATCGTCTAATAATTAGTCATATACTCCATTTAATAATTAGTTAAAAATCAGTACATTTCATGGGCTATGGCCTATGAGAATCATATCTGCTCTACCTCATTTGAACTGAACTCCTCGTTCTTGAATTTCATGAACTCAAGTGCTGAATTAAGCTCAACTTCTAGGTTCCTAAGGGAAGCTCTTATGTCATTTTGAGTGACACCGTTCCGTCTCAGTAAATCTTCTACACCTTTTTCATTTACAACAGCTGTATCGTCTTTATTTCTGTGACCAAACTTAATCTCATCGGCTGCATGTTGAAGCAGTAAGCACATTGAACAAATTAAATAAAAAAGAGAGAAGAAAATACTGATTTAGATATTCATAATTCATATCAGGTTACAATAGAAAATAATTAGATAAGTAAGGAGTAGAAAAGAAATACGTTCAAATTCAGTGTCGTGAAATCCAGCACGCCGAGAACTCCAAGTTCTCCATGAATCTGATACAAATGTGCCGGTGTCTTCTAGATAACTACTTCCTTTATATTATATCACACAATAGGTAAAATATCACAGAAATGTTAACTATGTCTACTGGGATAATGTAATAAATAAAATGGATATTTGTGAGAAAAAGAAAATAACCAAATACTAGTAATATATAATTATATATTATGCCACAGCAACTAACATCAATCACAACATAATGGTCACTGTGAGCACAACTTACCCACATCAGTGGTCATGATATTCATATCATCCCCGGCAGTCTTGCTTAATGGCCATTTTCCATTCCCAGATTTTTCCGGACAGATACTGAAAGATGATTGTCTATGTTTCTCTAATCGTCTCAATATGCCCTCAATTCCACTCTCCTCCTCTGCTTCTGCTTTTCTGAGCCAAAGGGGAAACACTTTCAGTTTAAAATGTCATACCAAAAACCTTAGCATTACATATATAAGAACGAGGAATGGAGAATAAAACCAAAAGATTAAAGAGGCCTAGAGATTTTTTTAAAATTTCTAAAACTTTGGCAAGCAACAAGTCAATGGTTAAGTATATCTGACAAATTATCAATTATTACAAAGAGGCTGTGCAGGATATTGACAAAAACAGCATTTAGTTTTTCATAAGGAATTAAACTAAATTCGTTTGAACCTTAAGTTTTTTAAGGTCCTAAGTAGGAAGCTCACAATGATCTACCAGAAGAAGATACACTTTCAGAAGAAACGTTAGAACCAAGAGAGTCTACTTCAATGTCCACAAAAGCTCCACTATCTCTACAAGTATTGACCCTTCTTGCAAACTCCTCCATATCGAAATCAATCTCAAGCCCCTCATTGTTACCATCATTATCAGAATCCCAACCAAGGGAAAACCACCCGCCTCTCCTCTTAATATCCTCAACCAAATCAAACCTACCCGCATCCTCCAGCTCTTTCCTAGTTGGGAACGACCCTGACTTCTTGGAATTCTGCATGAACTCCAAGATTCTGGCCTCCAGCTCGGCGTCCCCTCCAGTGCTCGCCGAACCCCCATAACACAAACAACGAGAATCACTTACATCCCTCCCCCACCCCCTCTCGCGCCTCCTCGGATCAAGAAACCCATAAAGCCCCTTCCTTTTCGTCCCCGAAAAGCTTGTTAATGTGGGACAGCTGAGTTTCAGACCGCGGAGTTTCAGCGGAGCGGGACTGAACGAGGAATTCATTTTCACGGGAAGAAATAAATGCGGTGGGGTCCTGACGAGGGAAACCATCGCAAAGGCATTTCGTCGAGCACACGGAGAGCGGTTGGGGCGGATATGGAAGGAATGCTTCAACAGAAAAGTGGAGCACAAGAAGCCGGGGAGCCGGGCTGTGAAGCAACGAACAATTTTCTACTGAACAGCGTGTTGCATTAAAAGTCCTGTAAAGGTGTATTCCGTAATCGCTTTACAGATCCAATTTTGATTTTTGTCGTATGGATTGAACTATTCCCGGCACTACATTTTTTTTATAGGGAAAATGGGCAAAAACATCCTTAACAAACTGTTCCGTTCGTCTTAATCTTATTACTTATTCCTTAATCTTATTTTATTCAGATCAGATCAGATCAGATCAGAAAGATTCAGATCAGATCAGATCAGATCAGAAAGATTCAGATCAGATCAGATCAGATCAGAAACATTCAGATCAGATCAGAAAGATTCAGATCAGATCAGCAACATTCAGATCAGATCAGAAAGATTAAGACCAGATCAGACCAGATCAGAAACATTCAGATCAGATCAGAAACATTCAGATCAGATCAGATCAGATCAAAAAATTCAAACATGATTTATCACTTTTATTATTATAATAATTATGATTATTATATTATAGTTATTGGTAATAATATTAATATATTAATAATAATATAATAATAATGTTAATAATATAAAATTATTATTATATTATAATAATATAATATAATATAATATAATATAATATAATATAATATAATATAATATAATATAATATAATATAATATAATATAATATAATATAATATAATATAATATAATATAATATAATATAATATAATATAATATAATATAATATAATATAATATAATATAATATAATATAATATAATATAATATAATATAATATAATATAATATAATATAATATAATATAATATAATATAATATAATATAATATAATATAATATAATATAATATAATATAATATAATATAATATAATATAATATAATATAATATAATATAATATAATATAATATAATATAATATAATATAATATAATATAATATAATATAATATAATATATTTATAATTATAATTATAATTATAATTATGATTTAAAATGTAATTATAATTATAATCATCATTATTATTAATATGATTGTTGTTCTTGTTGTTATTTTTGTAATTATTATTACTTCGGAGTAATTATATATTTAAATTAGTAATTATAGATATAATTATGATAATAGAGATAAATATTATAATTATAATTACAAAAAAATAATTATAAAATTAATCATAATTAAAAATATAATTACATTTATAATTGTATCTGTATTTATAATTAGTGTAATTGGTATAATTATTATAATTTTAAATTTAATTTTAATTATTATTTTTTTATAATTATGATTATAATTGTAATTTTATTTAAGTTATATTTTTAATTACAATTATAAATCTAATAATTATAATAATAATTACAATTATAGAAATATTCAAATCAGATCAGAAAGATTCAGATCAGAAGAATTCAGATCAGATCAGAAACATTCAGATCAGATCAGAAACATTCAGATCAGATCAGATCAGATCAGCAACATTCAGATCAGTTCAGCAACGTTCAGATCAGATCAGAAAGATTCAGATCAGATCAGATCAGATCAGAAAAATTCAGATCAGATCAGATCAGATCAGAAAAATTCAGATCAGATCAGATCAGAACTTAAAAAATTCAGATCAGAAACATTCAGATCAGGTGAACGGAACAGCTTCTAACAAACAAGTTGTCCCCAAGGCCCAAGGGAGATATATACCCATAAACTTAATTTTTGGGCAAAAAACTCTAACAAACCAAAAAAGAGAGCAAAAAAGGCCTTTAACTAACAGAACATGCAACCCTTAAAACGCTCACGTGGCCAAATAATTTATCTCTATTGGCAACAAAGGGAAAAGGGGAACATTCTAAATTAATTTATCTCTATTGGCCAAATACACGCTAGAATAATTTCTTGGGTTCAGATCTAGGATACTATTTTCATATAAAAAATCAATTTTATAATGTTTAATTTTTAATTACTTGATTATCAGCATTTGATATCGTAAAATATCAAGCCCTATTAAACATTACTTCCCTCCCAAAAAACTTTGTCGTATTTAAGAGCCCGTTTGGTGATCATGTTTTCCGACTTATCAGGCTTATCAGTCAATTTTTTTTACCAAATACGTAACTTTTGATTTCGTGCGCTGAATTGTGTAATAATAAGAGAAAGTAAGATTGTAGTTATTTTTATGGCTGTATTGATTGAAGTTACTATATATGATCATTTTAGTCGTTTTTCACATACATAGTTTTTTCTTTATATTTATAAATAAAATATATTTTAAATATAATCAATATATATATATAAAAGAGGAACTTTTTAAGAGCATACAAAGCGCCACATAATCCTGCCATGTCATTATATATATTAATTATTTAGTTAATTTGTACCTTCTATTTTTATTAGCTAGATTCTATTTTTGATTGCATGTTGATATGGAAACAAAAATCCGTAGAAAGTACTATATTAAACAGGCTCTATTTTAGGCTAAGTTTATATATGACATGTATTCTTAGCCAAAAATACAATACATTTTAATTTCTATAACAATTAAATTTTATAGTATACATTTAGGCTTAGAATTATGTGTTAGAATTATACGTTTTAATTCCATTATAACAATTAAATGTTATCGTATACGTTTATACGTTTAGGCTTACAATTTTAAAAAAAACAGGCTCTATATTTAGACTATTTTACTTAATATATACTCCGTATTAAATTTCTATGAATATCCATCTTCGTGAGATTATATTAAACGTTTAAAATCGGGTTCATAGAATTATATTTACTCGAGATGCTTATGTAGAAGATCAATTTAACTATTTTTCATATAATCTTTTTCTGGCTTCACAAATGGAATATATTTTACATTTTTTTTCATGATTCCACTCATTTAGCTCATTCAGTCATAATTTAATCAATTTGAGTAAAATAAGTTAATTCAATTTATTTTAGTATTATCAAACAGGCTCTATATTAGACTAAGTTTATTTTTCTTTTAAATCACATTACATATGATCCGAAAGAAATCAAATTTCAAATTAGCTAAATTACATCTGCCCGTGCATCGCACGGGCTTGAAAGCTAGTTTTTTCATAAATCAGTAGAATCAGTCAATCCAGCCATTTCAGCCATAACTTCATAAATTTCAGCAGAATAAGCCAATAAAGTCGATTTGGGTATTACCAAACAGTCTCTAAAACTTTGACCAAGTATATATTTTAATTGAAAATTACCTATAAGATAAAAAATGATACTAACATGTTTTTTTATTAAAAATACTTTCATAATAGTAAAATATATAACTTCCATAATACTCCGTATTGTATACATCAAAATCATGGCCCAAATTTTATGAATGCCAAAGTTTTTTAGGCGGATATAGTCCCAGACACATTAATTACACAATTCTCAGACAATGTAAAATGAATTCAAAAGAGCAAGTTCCTCGAATATGAGTAAAATATGGGCTAAATGCAAAATAGAACTCCAATGTTTTAAGTTTTCTAAGTAATTCACCGCTGGTCGTCGTCACCGCCACTGGACTGCCCCACCACCAATGAGCTGCCCCGATTATGCAATAAAATTAGAGGCAATTAATTGATTAATTAAACTTAGGGAATTAAAGGTAAAAAGTTACTACCAAACACCTTGTGGTTCGATGGCATCACTGTAACACCACCAAAGAGAATGTCACAGGTTCGAAACGCATCCCAGTCAAGAATGTTGGCATTTAACATTGAAGTATTAAACAGATACTAAAAAGAGACTGGAAAGTCCAACAAAAAAGGTAGAAAGTTATTGTTTAGTCTTATTTACGGAAGATTTAGATCTTACTCCTATTTGTGCAATTATGTTTACGCTTAATCCCGCTTAGGATAATTTCCCAATTCAAAGTACAAATACTTGTGTGACTTTAAGATTACACAATTCATTTAATTTAGGCTTTTGTAAAAACAATTTATAAAACAAGTAAAAAAATTAAATTCTTTTAGCATTAGAACAAATATCAATTATCTACCAGAACTAGCAAATAATGTTAAATCTAAAAAAAGGGAGGAGGCAGGCTACAATTCCCGTTAGTCAGGCAACTGAAGAATGGGCAGGAGGATCCAGAAGAGATGGAAGCAAGAGAATTCCGTCAGTTGAAGTTTTATTACTTTTGCATTTTTTATTTCAGACTAAATTTGTTTGTTGTTTTTGTGTCGCACAATAAGGGAGGTGGGTATGTGTGCTGCTCTTTGTTTGTTGGTAGAAAACTTGTTGGAGGCGATTAGTTTTCGGCGATTGGTCTCGCTCTCATCGGGGGTGGACTACTCAATGTCTGATCGATCATGACGTGAGGGGGTCGATGGGCTTTTGATTTGGATAGGATAGAGGGAGGTTTAGATCTTAGGGTATGGTTGTTGACTTGGTGCTACGTTTTGGTTGATTCTAATATAAGCTATTTATTTCCAAAAAATCAAATAACTAATTTATTTATCAAATCCTAGCAAAGAAACAAGTGAATGAATAGCCTAATGCTACAATGATATGAGACTTTGAATGGAAAAGAACACATTAATCACTCCATATCTTTGACTCCGCAATAATGTTGTTTAGTCTAACAAATTTGCTGCACTTCTTACCCCAAATAAAAATAAAACATTATAAACAAAAAAATTGGCTTCACTAGCAATTGAAAAGAGAGAATTGATGATATGACCAGCAACCAACAAATGAAACCCTATCGAGCGGAAATTGTATGAATCATCGGTTTGACTAGCAACCAAAAAGGAGATCCAGTTGGACGTTTTTTTTTCAAAGAGGGGCAGTGGTTCAGGTGGAGGGTGAGTAATTGAAGCCTCAGAACAACAATATTGACAAAGCTTTGCCAAACATGAAGAATGAAAATTCACCAGATCGATTACACAGATGAGAAGCACACATTCTCTGGACACTGCTAGGAGAAAAACATATCGCACGCTCACCTGAAGCGGACAAAACTCTCGATCAAAGATGATGCCGGACAAAAACTATCAAAAGTAGAAATTAAAAAAGAGTGAAAACATAGAAAATTATATGATTTGATACTTAACTGTCCAGAGAACATCACCATATTCCAATATTCTTGCTGATTAAAGTAGA